TTTTTTTTTGTAATTTATGTCGCAACATTGATATTAAAACATAAGAAGATATTCAGATAGAATATTCAGATCGTGCGAACCCGATTGAGGTTTTTTGCAGACTAAAAAATAATGTTTAAAATATAATTGATATATAGTTAAAATTATGTGAATGAGAATAGTGAATCAAAATTGAAGTGGATTGTGAGGATGATTGGACGATATTATGCAATTGTCTTGATAATATTAAAAAATATTGAGTTGAGTTAAAATTGACTTAGATTTTAAAATAAAAAAATTATAGGTCACTTTTGACCACATAATTTATAACCATTTAGACCTTGTATATCTTAGTTAGATTCACTGTAACATTCCGTTATTTTTAAAAGAAAAATACCACATTTTTTCTAAAATAAGAGTTAAATTTTCACAATTATTTTAAAATTTATTTAACGAGCATTACTCAATTTATCTCAAATTAGCAACTTAAGCCAATGGAAATAAACCATCCCAGGTCAACATTCCAAACCCAACAAATAAAACAAGCTTCAACCATAATATCAAACATTATCCAACATGAACAATTCCAATTTATAATTCAAGCATGCATAATATCCATGTCTCACGATCAATCTCCAAAACCCAACATTTTAACAAGTCTGGCAGAAGATAACAATAATGATAATAATGCGGAAGCAATTAAACTGTGCACGTCCATCTTTCACCGCTGCCACCAGCTCAATCTAAAAGAGGGGAGCATCAAGCAAGTATGACGCTGCTCGTCCGTCTTTCACCGCTGCCACCAGCTCAATCTGAAAGGGGGAACATCGTGGAGAGAGAGAGAACATTTAATTGCTCACCCCCACTATTCCCTCCTTTCAGGTTGCGCTAACTTCTTCAAGAAAAAGAGCTTTCTAAGCATATATTCTTCATGAAAATTTAACAATCGGATCCAACATATCTGAATGCGCATCTTAATGCGTGGCAGACAGACAAGTACTTGTAAACGAGGTAATCTAAATAGTCAAACGTGCTTGACCCATTACGTGTCGTACTTTGGATTGTTTGAAACTGAAACCTAAACTCACTTCTGCTAATATTCCTTGGTTAATGAAAGGAAATTTAGCTTACATAAAATAAGAAACACAAATTTAGTATGGAGTTTGTCAGAAATCCGCCACACCATGGCCGCCACACTGATTTAGGTTGTTATTGTTTAACAACTATATCTGCATTTACTCGGAGAAACGCATAAGATCATATTCCTGCAAAGTAGCCATCACATAGCTAAAAAAGAAATGAATAAATAAAAGAGTATCATATTTCAAAAGCAAGAATCGTTGTTCACAGATACCCCTCCTCCTTAGGTCTCAAAAAATCGTAATTCTAACATGAACTCTCTCTGTCTTGGCGAGTACCAGGCTATGGCTTTTGCCGAGGCAAGAACTTGCAAAGCGTATTCAACGGCAAATACAGGATCGTTCACGTTCACATAGCATTCTTTCTTCAGGTCAACAGTTACTCCAGCATCCATTCTGAAGCTGAAAGGTCCGGCTATCTGCATTTGCAGTACAACCCAAATCATCCAACATTCATGAGTCTAAAGTGTATTTTCTTTGAAGCTACTGTAACTTAACTAACTTTACGACATAAAATTGTTAGTGAACAAGCGCACAACTACAAATAGCAGCAAACTCTCTTAGGTCCTCCAGATCTAGAATATCTTTGGTAAATGTATAAGCCAACATAAAGCTTATTTAGCTAGCATACAAGTTTTTTGTATTCATTTAAGCTTGGTGATGAGATTTTTTAAAAAGCTCGAGCTTATCTCATAAGCATCTCTCTATAGTTTTTCAAAAGAGGCTGTTAAAATTTTTATTTCCACTAATAAGTAATTTTACCCAACATTATTAATATTTCAGCTAGTTTTTCAACCATCAAAAACTATAAGATCAAAATTCACATATAAGCTATTAGCTATCAACTAGTTTTCAGCTAGATACACCAAACATACCCCTTTGTGAAGTCTCGAAAGCATTTTTTAATTCATAGTTATTTATGTATTTTTTTTTTCGGTCGGACCTCAAGGTTTCTATTGGGGATTATCTCACAACTTGAGCAAAATATGGGCAAAATGTGAAAACAATAGCAATTATGCCTTATTTGCCTTTCATTTTGCAAGACATAAAGTGTAAAACACTTTCTCAGCAGAGTCCGTTATTGGAAAGATACCTGCTGTTGAAACGAAAGGCTCGCAGAAGGACAAATTGCCTGAAATGCTTCTAAACTGGGTACTCGAGAACTGCGAAGGTCCGATGCCACCTGAGAGGCACCGGCCAAGAACTTTGACCCAGAAGGAATGTCGAGACGTGCATAAAAGCGACTGAGATCCAGAAAAGGCTTCTGGAAATTTCCATGCTGAGCCGAAAGTGCTGCAGATGCAAAAAGATCAGCTGAAACGGAAGAGTTCGCTCCTCGGGCTTGAAAGCCGAATGATTCATCTTCCTCATGGGCTCTTGTTGAATTGTCTCCAAGAGATGCGGTGATTACAGTACCTAAATTTTAAACATTAAGCAGATAAGTCACAGTTGTGGGATTTTATAGGAAGCTATGAAAGTTTATTTGGCAATAACAAAACAAATGTTCAAGTGATTGGTTTGGTTTCAGGGGCATAAGCTAAATCATATAAACATGCACATAATATCCGTCTCAACATACTCATGCATGGCCCACAGGTCCTATATAGTAAATCCTACTAAATGTCTAGGTTACAAATCTTGAATGCAGGCCAAGTGCCCGTTGTCATATTTACTAAGGAAAAAAAAATAGAGAATAAAATACCAAGCTTAGCAGAGAGGAATTTCTCCAAGTAGGGCCCAATGAACAATAACGAAGCCATAACTAACTAGTAACTATGAATGATACTCAAGGTTTTCTTATATTCACAATTCTAGTTCAATTTACACAAAAGACTCTTTTCAAAACATTTGTCTAAAAAGACATAACCAAAAGAAGCATTTAATTGTAAAAAAAAATCAAGAAATTTAGAAATCAGCTCAAAACACGAATATACAGTGGAAAGTTTCTCATGATGCATTTTATAGGGAATAAATACAACAACAACAACAACATACCCAGTATATTCCCAACTGGTTGGGGTCTGGGGGGTCAGTTGTACGCAGAACTTACCCTTGTAATTATTTTATAGGGAATAAATAACTATATAAAATTACAGACATTTTAAGGTCTCAAATGCCAGTGGATTGTTTAAAATAATTATTGGGGGCATATACGATTTTCCGTTTTCAGAAACTTCTGGAGGGTCACTCCCCGCTTGGCCTCCTCTAGGTCAGCCACACCTCAGATGCTCGGAACCATTAATTACAGATATATCTTCAGTTCCATCACCACCTAATCACTGCTGAATAATTAAAACTGTATCTCTAATGTAAACACTAGCTTTTCTTCGACAAACTTCAGTAATCAGTCACACGAACACAGAATGCGCTTACCTAGGAGTGCTGAAGCAGAGATATGGGGAGTAGAGAGGAATACATCATATGGTAGCACCATTTTCGTCTTTGGTGCTTCACTCCTCCACAAGTCAAAATCTTTTTTATAGGAATATGCACATTTTCCACAGAGGCCCGGAAGTAAACCAGGAGGTACTGGGGTATTCACGGGCTCATCCTCACACTGTTTGGGAGAACCCGCCGTGTGATTGATGCAGAAATGACAACTCGTACCAGAATCCGAAGCCAATGATGAAACATCCACCGATAACGTGAATGGGACATCCCAGTATTTACCAAAACGATCAACAAAAAGTGCTGGTGAGCTTGCCTCCACAACGAGATCATGATTAGGAAACTGAAAGATAGGACATTTATATAGATTTGATTGAAAAATATACTGTATCACAGAATAGTAAAGAATAAATTTGATTAAAGTGGTCAACACTCATAGTCATACACGCGTGCCTTGTGGTGAAATACCGCCTTCCTTCTGGGGTTCTTGCCATCACCCTGTGCTTCAAAACCAAGCTGCACCTTATCTTCAGGTGTTAACAACCATTCTAAAAGGAAGTTGACTGCGTATAAGTTCGGGTCTGAAAGGTGTCTCCAAATGCTCTTCAAAGAGGACCCAAGTGTCTCTTGCCTGACTTCATTCCTTTTGAGGGAAGTTACAAACTTGTGCACATTGAACTGTCCAAGGAATGCAGAAAACCTGCATCACTTTTAATTGTTATCTGAAAGGTTATGAAAAATGGATAGGCCATTTAACAGAAGCTACATGTTTCATGGTTCCACCGCAGCTCAGTTCATTAAAACTTCTTAAATTCTATATATTTCTGTATATATAGAGAGAGAACCATCGCAGAATAAACTGTATACACAATTTAAAATTTACCAAATAATTGACCAATGCCCAATATATCTTTATTTACAGTAAGACTGTTATGCCGGCTATACTTTTTCAATAGACATTCATACTTCCATACGACGACTCAAAGAACCTCTTTGAACTGCAAGGATTGTTTTCTTTAGGAGAAAAAAAAACACCTTACATGTGACATACATTATATGTAAAAGTATGACATTTCTAAGTATGCATACTTATTGAAAAATGGCCGCTTAACTGTTACTCCCCGACTTACAAAAGAATTTATGCTTTATTTATGTAGAAAATAGACTAAAAAGAGAAACTGGTAAATATAAAAAAAAAAAAAAAAAAAAA